ACCCTATCGCATTTATCGTATTTACCCTAGACCCTGACCCTGACCCTGACCCTGACCCTAACCCTAATGCATTTATCCCATTTACCTAGCCCCTAATGTTAACACTAACCCTGACCCTAACCCTAACCCCAAGGCCAGTCCTAAACCTAACCTTAACCCCATCCTTAACCCTGGTGCTGAATCTAACACTCACCCCAACCCTTACGCTATTGTATTTACCCTAACCCTGACCCTAACTCCTAACCCTAACCTTAACCCTATCGCATTTATCATATTTCCCCTCGACGCCAACCCTACCCCAAGGCCTATCGCATTTACCTGAACCCTGACCCTGGTCTCTCACCCGAACCTGGGACCCTAAATCTGACCCGGTTCTATTTACCCAAACCCCTCGCCCTAAGGCAACCCTAACTGTTCGCACTGCCCTAACCCTAACCCAAACTTTAAGCCTAACACCAACACCGTTGAACAACAAACGGGAGACGGGGGGGGGGGGAATGATTGGATTCTCTCTCAACGGTGACCCCCCAGGATGTTGCTCGAAGCTGGAAGGATCGAACGTGGGGCAGGGAATGAGGATTTGCAACACAACAGTCAACTCTTGATGCAAACGACGCGATTTATTTGAGAAATACAGGCGAGCTAATCATCGCTGAGTTGCTGGTTTCATCGTACGCGGTATTCCGAAGCGCGGCGGGCGCTAACATCCGGGAGAAGTAACTTGCCGGAGGGGGAAGGCCTTGTCTGGCGCGTAACCGCTTAGCGTGCTACCTCCACCTGGGCTCCGCAAAGCGCACGCCCTGGCGTCCGCGAAACGCGGGGTCGGTTGCCGGGGTGCGCTTACGGCGCCATACCCTGGCGAGACGGCGTTTGCGGAAGCCCGGGGTTTCCTGTTCAACCTCTGAGGGGCTTCGTCGGCCTTTAAGCGCACAAGGAGCCGTGGCGCGGAAATTGGCGAAATTGCCCACGGCGGTGAGGGGGAGGGGGGGGTGCGCGGGGACACTGACCTTACGGATGCCCCCCCCACCATGACGACACGGGTTCCAATTGAGCTCTGACTTGACCCGGGTGTTGGCAAAGGGTGAGGCACACGTTGTGCGACGGCTGACAGTTAACTGCTGTCGCGGGGGTGTTGGGTGGGGTGGGGGGGGGGGGGGGGCGTTTGGGCCGGCAAATCGAGTGAGAAGGTGCGGGGGGGGGGGGTGGAAAAGGAGGGGAAGGGGCACCGCTCCCGCCCGTCTCTGGCCAGCGCACCGGTTAAACGGCTGCGGACTGACAGTCAACTGCTGCTCGCCTGGCGCTCTGCTGTCCAGTTCCCCTTCCAGGCTGGCGTCTCTCGTTTTGGCGAGGGTGGTGGGGTGGTGTGTGTGTCCCCATGAGGTGTGCCCCCACTCCCCCCACCCCTCCCCAACCCCGGCACCTCTCCCGGAGTGGCGCACATATCCTGATCCATTTAGCATTTTGGTTATATCGTGATTGCAAAGCCCCAGCTCTTTAATAGTTTGTGCCGAAGGTACAGTTGGCTGAAAGTCAAGGAAGATGAGGGAGGACAGGAGAGATGGAGAATTCCACCCCTATCACCCCTAGGGGGCGTTTCACATCAGGAGGACGAACGCACAGACTAAGGCCAGGACGGCCAAGATTTTGAGCAGGAGGGTGAGGGAGATGAGTTCCGAGCCCCCATCCAGAATGCGGGTGCGAGTCGGGTTGATGGCCCTGTCCCACTGAGTCAAGATGGCCGCCTTGGCGCCGTCCCACTTGCCCGGCCCGGTGAGGCGGAACTGGTAGGGTGAGCAGGGCCCGAAAAAGACCCGGAAGGCCAGGCAGGGGTCGGTGAGGAACAAACGCTTGATGTTGAGCCTGGCGCCGATCTCCTCGGCCAGCCCGTCCATGTAGGGGATGTAATCCACCTGCAGGGTGCGCCTCTGAGTGCCGTCGGACCTGCAAGGGAAGAGACAGGAGGAGGAAGCGCGTGCCCGAACGGGGTGGCCCACCCCCTAACCCCTGGGGGCCCGGCCGATCGCTCCGTCTCAGCCTTCAATACCCTTCGGTAATTCCGCCCCCATCTCTGTCTTCCCCCTTTACTCTGAGACGATGTGCCCCCTTTTGGTCCCGGACTCTCACTCTCACACACTCACACACTCACACTCACACACTCACACACACACACACACACTCACTCTCACATTCAAACACACTCTCACACTCACACACACTCTCACTCTCACACTCACACACACACACTCACTCACAGTCACACACACTCTCACATTCACACACTCACATTCACACACACTCTCACACTCACACTCACACACTCACACACATTCACACACACTCTCATACTCACACACTCATTCACACACACTCACATTCACACACTCTCACACTCACACAAACTCAGTCACAATCACACACACACACACATTCACACACACACACTCACACTGACACACACTCTCACATTCACACACACTCTCACACACTCACACACACTCTCACATTCATACACACACTCACATTCACACACACTCTCACACAAACTCAGTCACAATCACACACACACACTCACACTCACACACACACACTCACACACACTCACATTGACACACACTCTCACACAAACTCAGTCACAATCACACACACACACACTCATATTCACACACACTCTGACACACTCACACGCACACACTCACATTGACACACACTCTCACACAAACTCAGTCACAATCACACACACTCTCACATTCACACACACACACTCACACTCTCTCTCGCTCTCTCAAACACACTCACAATCATACACACACACACTCACATACACTCATACTCACAATCACACACACACACATACACACACTCTCACACTCACACACATTCACACACACTCTCACACTCACACACTCATTCACTCACTCTCACACACATTCATTCACACACACTCACACATACTCACATTCACACACACTCTCACACTCACACACACTCACACTCAGACAAACTCAGTCACAATCACACACACACACTCACATTCACACACACACACTCACACACACACACACTGACACACACTCTCACATTCACACACACTCTCACACACTCAC